AGATCTCTCTCTGTTTACTCTCTGCAGTGGGACCATGACAGATGCACTTGGAAGGCATGGAGAGCAGATGCTCTGCCCTTCCCAGTAGACAAAGTCAAATCTCTTACTAGCCCCAGTGTCCGACCTATGAAATGGGAATGATAATTCTGGTCTCATAGGGTTGTTGTAAATATGAAATGAAATTGGACCCAGAGTAGATAGTCAGTAAAACTTTTCGGAATTATTAATATTTAGTTACCTAACATTTGCATAACATCTTAGTCCTTAACAATTTGGCCATTCTGTTCATGTTTGGCTGCTTTATTTATGATGATTCTGGATAAAATTCCTGCATAGCAAAATAACTGGTGAAAATATTTTAATTTTAATATGACCTGAGTTTATATTTTCAGCAAGGACAGTGTCGACCAGAAAAAAATCAAGAATATCTGTGGAGATGGGATCAATTCTGTGGTGGTCAAAGCTTAAGTGAGAGCGCTGTTACCACAGCCACTGCAAAACACGAGGGCAGCGACTACTGTATTAGTCACAAAGGATGTTTTGCCTAGAAGTGTTTTCCCTGCAATACTTCCAATGTGTTGGTGAGGCTTTCTTTTTTTAAAGCAACTTTTTCCAAAAATAGCATAGTTAGATTCATCATCTTTTTACACAAATATGTATGGAAGCAGGAAGTCATTTTGAAGTCCTATTAACTGTACTGATATACATTTGTCTTAGCAATGGCCAGGGAGGGTGTTAGACTAAAAAAAGAAATTTACTCTATGAATATTGAGTAAGCCCACAGAATCTCAGGAGGCCTGACAACACGGCTGAGTGCCTGCAGCCCAGAACAGCACCCCAAGTCAGGCTGCAGCAGGGGTCCATGCAGACATTACCTACATACATGCTGCACAGGCCTTGCGGCTTGAGCCCCTGACCCCACTCACACTGAACCCTCACACTGTTGTCACTGTGCCCCTGGAAAGTGGGTACAGCCACTGTTGGTGCTGCCACCATCAGCCATATTGGATTTCTGTAGATTCCCTAATACTTTCTATTCCTAGTTTCTAATTCAAAGCCTGGTGTTGTTTATCTGATTGTCAAAAGCTGGGTAGCATACTTGTACCCTAGCTACAAGAGAACCTGATAAAGTGAGTTTCTGCCACTCGTCTTTTTATAGTGAGAGGTGGACTCTGTCTCATAAAGATGAAAACTCTCCAACTATGTAGCAGGGTGTAGATTGAGATTAGGGTCCTGAACAGAGGATGCAGAGTTAGCATTAAGCCCTTCAAATTCTAAAGAGCCAGGAACAACTGGAACAGGACACCTCAATTATGTAAGCAATCTTGAAAAGTGGAAAAAGAGGAAATTGTTGAAATGTGTAGTTTTGGCCGAGTAGCAACGACAGTTCCCCCACCCTCCATTCACCATTTGGGAGAGAACAGAATGCTACTCTTCCATCCCCCAGACAAATGATGGGAAAGGGCACCAAGAAATTTGCTCAGAGCTACTGAAGGTGTCTGCAAAGAGAGACAGGCATCTCATGTTCCCAGTTGGTATTACTCAAGCAGAAGGCTTGCAGATTTACCTTTGGTCCTGTTTGAGCAGGATGAAGGGAAGAGAACGTAGAGTGAAGAAAGATGCTTAGAAGGCGTAGGCCTTCCTCAGAGCTAACCGGAGAAGCTTAAACAGCCAACAGGACCACAGCCAAGAGAGTGAAGGAAAGAGAGGTTTGCCCCATCTCCTCTTCTCTCAGCCCACCACACCAGAGGCATCTGGTCCAAAAGGAGGGAGAGTATGAGGAAGTGTCCCAGCGGTGGATCTTGACCCTCCTCCCCAACACTCTGATGCTGGAGCACAAGGAGGAGAAGGCAGACCACTCCTGCCCCCTTCGAGTTCAAGAGCTCCAGGTCTGGCTGCTGTGAGGTAGGAAAAAACCCTGATGAGGCATGGCTTTGGACCCAGACTGAACTTCTAACAGCCATGAGGACCCCAAAAGCCAAGAGGTTTTTCTGAGATGTCAGTAAAAGAACTGCTACTGGGAAAATAAAACTGCTTCACATCTGCAGAGCTGCAGATTCACTCTGCTCTGAACGCCAGTTACAAAGTGGAAGGGCTTCAGATGCTGGAAGGCAAAGTGAAAGAAACCGGCCCCTCATGGATGCAAGGATGGAACGATATTCACAAATCAATAAACGTAATACATCACATAATCAAAAGCAATGACAAAAATCACTTGATCATACCAATAGAGGCAAAAAGAGCATTTGATAAGGTACAGCACCCATTTATGATGAAAACACTCAGCAAAGCGGAAATAAGGGGGAGCATTCCTCAACATAATAAAGGCCATAAATGAGAGACCTACAGCCAACATCATACTCAATGGGCAAAAACTAAAAGCTTTCCCACTAAGATCAGGAACAAGACAAGGATGTCCACTTTCACCACTCCTATTCAACATAGTATTGGAAGTCCTAGCCACAGCAATCAGACAAGAAAACGACAGGAAAGGCATCCAAATTAGAAAGGAAGAAGTGAAATTGTTATTGTTTGCAGATGACATGATAGTGTACATAGAAAATCCTATAGACTCTACCAAAAAACTACTTGACCTAATAAGTGAATTTGGCAAAACTGCAGGATACAAAGTCAATATTCAGAAACCAAAGGCATTTTTGTACACCAACAATGAAATATCAGAAACAGAACTCAGGGGAAAATATCCCATTTGCTATAGAAACGGACCTCTACAGTGTGGATTCATCTGTTTTCTCTCTGGACAGACTTAAGAACCAAAGGAGAAGGGATGAAACCTTGGGAAATGTGGTTCATGGATATACAATTTCTAAAAATATTTAGCAGATTTTTTTTCAAGCTGGTCACTCTCAGGCAACAACTAAAGGTAAACTGAATTATCTACGACCCCAAGCAAGTCTGAGAGCTAGATGAAGAAGTTTGACGGCAAGGAGGGATATCACGCAGTGAAAATTACAGCACGAACGGTGAAAACAGAGACCCTGGGCACCAGTCAGATCTCTTCCCTGGAAACATGCCCTGCCCAGCGCCACCCTGAAAGCGGGGAAGAGGGTGAGCTGAGGTCAGAGAGGCGAGGGGCGTGGCCTCTCAACAGGTCAGGGCCTTCGTCTAGAATTTTCCAAGGTGACCCTGAGAAGTCTGCCCCACAGTGCCTCTCTAGCCACTTTCTGATCTTCACCCTTGCAAATCACTGAGTATGAGGCTCTAGAAACAATCATTTAGAAGAGGAATCCTTGAATCCACATAATCACCTAAATCTGGATTCTTACAATATTGTGACTCAAAGCCAGGAAACAACTGGCCTGGAATCTAACCTGATGGGACATCACACATCCCTTCAGCCCCGTGCCCTACGGTCTCCATGCTTTGGAGACACTCACGCTTGGTCTGGAGCCCTATTGGCCACTTTCTAGCCCTGTGACCCTGGGCAGGTTTTCCTAATCTCTGTGAAGAAGAGACTATCTGGCAAGCTCTCGGCGTGACCCCTGGCAGAGAGGACGTGGCCAGTAAGTATGTTGTTGTTATCGAGAGCAATCCCCCTCATTAACCTACGAGCCAGGCAGGGTGTTTTGTGGTTGATTTTTTTGGTTTTCCCCCAGTTGGGACTCATTTTAACCACTTTTCTATTATAAACACAGATTATTATGGAGTTGGATACAAATCACATTAATTTTAGCCTCAAGCACAAAAACTTCAAAGGCATTTTTGCTTTGTGATAGCCAGCTGTGGGCATTGCCCCTCCCCCAGTTGGGGGGAGTGACGGTGGGGTGGCGGGGGAAGAGGGGGAGGCAGCTGTGTGGGTCAAGCTCTTGCTCACTTTCTTCAACCATTAGGGAGATTTGGGAGACAAGTTTGCAGAGTACAAGTAAAATCCTTATGAGGACCTGTTACAATCACGCATCCATTTTTTTAAAGATTTTATTTATTTATTTATTCATTCATTCATTATTTAGAGGAGAGGAAGGAGAAAGAGAGGGAGAGAAACATCAGTGTGTGATTGCCTCTTGTGCTCTCCCACTGGGGACCTGGCCTGCAACCCAGGCATATGCCCTGACTGGGAATCGAACTGGCGATCCTTTGGTTCGCAGGCCAGCTCTCAATCCACTGAGCTATAGCAGCCAGGGCTGTCATGCATCCATTTTAAAGATGTCAAACCAGAGGCGCTGAGAGATGAAGACCCTTTGTCCTCAAACCCTTTCAACCCATCCAAGTGCAGTGACTTTCCCTCTGCACTGTGTGTGGGTCCTTGGCCACTGCTGCCAGGGCCAGCTCCAAAATCTGCAGGGTCAAAGGTGATTCTTTGGTCAATATTTACCAAATGCTTTCCTTTGCTTGTCTGAGATTTTAAACCTCAGCTCCACTCTCTCTTGAACATTTATCTCTTTCCTGCAAATAAGCAAAACACACTCTTTTCCAGGAAATTCTGCACGCTCAGCGGGATATTTTTGGACATCGAGGTGGATTGTAATGCAAATGCCCTTGATTTCTTGGGACTCCTAACTCTTGTGAATTTCAGTGAGTGATAGGGCCCCTTGAAATAAATGTGCTTTTGATATATGAAAATTCCCTTTTCCCTTGTGAAATGTGCTTGGCAGTAAATACTTCCATTTGGTGGAATTTGCTTAATAATTCGGTGTCACACAGGGCTCAGCTGAGCAGTTCTGTGAAATGAAGTGAGGACCAGGGGCTAGGACCGGGAGAGGGCGCCAGGGAACAGGTCTGGACTGGAGTTCAGGGACCTGAAAACTGGGGTCTCCCTACCAACCGAGAACCAGGAACTGGGGAGACCTGTAGGTGATCTAATAGGTGCAAAGTATGCAAACAGAGCCAAGGTAAGCAAGGAGGATGCAGGTGAGCAGGTGGTGGCACCCACACCAGAGCAGCTGCTTTTTTTCCTGCCTGTTGTGACAGATAAGCCATCCATGCTTATCTGTCGGAGTCCTTGGTTTGAGAGCAAGCTGCTGCTGTCGCCACTGAAATTCTTACGGGGGTGAAGCAGTTCTGAGCAGTGGTTTTCTGCTCCTGAGAGAAACTTCTTTAGCATTTGTGGTGGGACCAGTGGCCCCTTCCAGCATCGCAAACCTCTCACAGTGTTTTCATGGTCAAGGGAATAGGACAGCGCCAACCCAGAGGAGGGTAAGATGAGAAGAGAGCGCAGAGCTGTTTTGGGTGGAGGCTGCAGGAAGGCTGCTTTCGGCTTGTTGTAAGGAAGAATTCTGTTCTAGTTGGAGACACACAGTGGAGGTTATGGCAGGGAGATGAGCTTCCCTGCCCCAGACGTGTGCAACTTCCAGCAGAGCTTCTTGTGCAGAGTGGGGCGTGCACTGGATCCCTGCACCCACGTGCTGTGAGTCAGCGTCCGCCTGTGTCCCACCCCTGCGGCACACTCTCCCAGAGCTGCCCGCTGTGCTTGGGGTCACGCCGTGACTCCTGCCGCCACCTCCTAGGCCTTCTGTGAGTTGGCCCCAGGCTCACCTCTTGTCGTCCCACCACACCGCCAGCTGTCCAGGTAGGTTCTATCTCGGAGCCCCTGCAACCCGGTCGAGTGCTCTGTTTGCTGTTTATCTGGTCCTTAGCCCTTTACCTGTTACACTTTCCTTTCATCTGGTTAATTCCAGCTGTTCCTTCCAGGCCCTTCCCCTGGAATCTCTTTTTCCTAAGCCCTGAGAATGAATCAGGTGTTTCCTCTTGTCCTTCCCACTTCTGAACACTACACTATGATTGTGACTCACAACGCTGGAAGCAGCCAGAGGACAGGGAAACGTCTGCTCGTCTGTCCCAGAGCCCTGCCTGGCACCTGGTGAGTGTTCAGTGTAAGTAAACCTATTGATTCTGAAGGGTTTGAATGTCTCCAACAACTAAGCCACTGCTGCCTCGGTCCCCCAACCTTTCTGGGGGGCTGCCAGGCTGACCCAGTGATTTGGTTTCATGGCTGACTTTGGAACATGGGGGCCTAACGTTTAATTTGTTTTAATGTTTTAAAAATTTAAAAATGGCCCTGGCTGGTGTAGCTCAGTGGATTGAGCTTGGGCTGCGAACCAAAGCATCGCAGGTTCAATTCCCAGTCAGGGTACATGCCTGGGTGGCAGGCCACGACCCCCAGCAACCGCACATTGATGTTTCTCTCTTTCTCCCTCCCTTCCCTCTCTAAAAATAAATAAATAAATAAATACAATCTTTTTTAAAAAATTTAAAAATGTTTCCCATAGTCATCCTATCAGTATGGAGATTTTTTTAGGTTAATTGGGGCAAAAATAGACATCTGTCTTTTCCTCCCAGTGAGAGGATGACATCCTCTCTGCAGAAGTGAAATTGCTGATGAACACAGCTCTCAGCTCGTAGACACCAGGATTCTGGATCCTCTATTTACCTGCTGTGTGACCTTGGGCTGACTGCCTGCTCTCTCTGGGCATCATTCGTTCAGCAAATATTTACCGCAGCCCTATCGTGTTCCCGGCACTTTTAGAGAGAGGTAATTGAACACAGACACAATTCCTGCCTTCACAGAATTTACAATCTAATAGAGAGACAGCAGACAACCAAATACATGAATATAAATTGTAATATGAACTACCAAGAAACTTAGTGGTGCACAGTTACAGAGAGTAATGGAGGTAAATGTGGAAGAGACCTACTGAGATCCCGAAGAGGTGACATTTAGGTCTGAAGGACACAGAGAGCCAGTGATGAGGTGTTTCCAGAAGATGGGCAAGAGCAGGTGCAATGGTCCTGAGGCATGCATCACGGAGAAGTGGAGAGAAGCCCAACTTGCCTACAGAATAATTAGCTGGGGGAGCTCTCCTCGTGTGTGAAATGGGTGCAGTAATGTTCGTAGTAGACACCTCTCGGGGCCTTCACGAGCGGCAAGTGGTAGATCAGATTTTTCCCATATCAAGCACATGTGAGTTACCCAGTTAACATTAGTTGAATGCAGAATTGAATGATTCGGTGCTTGCTTTGCAAAAATAAAAACATTTGAATTGGCAATTATTGGCCAGTTAAGACTAGGCAGCACACGTATCAATAAGTTTCAAAGATCCACATTTGGCCTTTGAGATTCCCAAGGATAATGACAGCTGCTTGTATTTAAAGTTGCTCATAAACCTTCCTGAACCAGGAGCCAGGAGCGCCAGTGTCCGAGAGCAGAAGGCGGACGTCCTGGCTCGAGCACGAAGCAAATCTGCCCTTCCTCTTCCTCTTTCTCCTATTCAACCCTCAGCCGATCGAACAATGTCTACCCACGTTGGCGAGGGCGATCTTCTTCACTCAGCCTGCTGATTCGAATGCTTGACGGAGCTAACAGAGGCCCAGATAGCATCGTATATTAAAAATAGTCAAAAAAGTTTATTAAAAAATATTAATGAGTCACATTGACACATAAAATTAATCATCATCAGTATTCCTGTCTTAGTTCACTTGAACAGCTGGATCGGAATACTGTAGCCTGGGTGGCTCATAAACAACAATAATTTATTTCTCACGGTTCTGCAGGCTGGGAGTCCAAGACCAAGGTCTCAGCAGACTTGGTGTCTGGTGAAGCCTGCTTCCTGGTGTATGGCCGCCTTTCTTCTCACCGTGTTCTCACACAGTGTTCTCACACTGTGAGAAGGGGGAGGGAGCTTCCTGGGGTCTCTTTTCTAAGAGCACTAATCCCCTTCAGGAGGGCTCCACCCTCTCCACCTAATCTCCTCCCTAACGCCCCACCTCCAAATACCATTGCATTGGAGATTAGGTTTCAACAAATGAGAGGGACACAGACATTCAGTCTATAGCACTTACACACAAGAAAACAAGATGTTCAGATTGGCTTGTGAAAGTGCGTATTTGAACCTAAATGCTGTGGGAAGGCTAAACATAAAGGATTGGGCCAAAGTATGGCAGACAAAAAGAAAACGGATGCCTTGATCTAAAAGAAGGTGAAATCCAAAAATACTAAATGAGACGAAGCAGAACACTTGATAATGCCTCACACTACAGTTCACAACAGAGCCTGACAGGTATGAATACACCAGTGCACCAGAGAACTTCATACAGTGATCTCCATAAAGCAGACCCTGCAGGAGATACAAAGCGGATGTGCAGAAACCACCAACAAAGGCGGATTCTAACACATGATTTTAACTGCAAGAAACATGAAGTAAACAAAAGATAAAGATGGACAGAGCTCCTGAGCAACATAATCAATAAGGTAGATCTTGTGTATATCTATCAAAATTTACACCCTTATTGATAATCAAGAATAAACCTTCTCCAGTGCACCGGAAATGTTGACAAAAATTAACAGGGCATTAGGTCACCATGGAGATCTAGTAAGTTACATAAAAAAATAAATACAGACTAAAGGGACAGCTAACTCAAACATGACAAATAAGCAGAAAGAACACAATATAAAGAATGACAAGGAAGAAATAACCATTAAAACAAAAGAAATTTTTAAGATCTCTCTGCACAAATGTATGCATAGAGATGTTAAAGCCCACATGAAAAAGGTAACTTTCTAGGAAAATTTGTATTTACCAAATTGACACAAAAAGAGATAGCTTATATAGATCAATCTTTATGATAAATAGAAAAAGTTATGAAAGAGCTAATGCCCATAAAGTATCAAACCCAAATGCTTTCAAATGCTTTCTACCATTCCTTCAAAAATAACATATTCCTAATGCCATTTAAACTGTTCAAAATAACAGAAAAAGAATGCAAACTTTGAATTTTTATATAAAGTACAAATAATATTGATAAGTAAACCTGATAAATATTGTGCAAAAAAAAGCTATAAAAACAATCTCACTTATCAATAATTATAATAAAATCTTACGTAGAATTTTCACAACAGATCCAATAGTACATTTGAAATAATACATATGGCCAGTTTCTATGACAACAATTCAAGGATGGTTCAATATTAGGAAATGAGTATAATTCCAAATAATAATTCTAATAAGAAAAATAATATGATCATCTCCATAGATGCTCTTCTTAGGTTATACAACTTAATATATCCAAAGATAATATGAAATTTTAGCCCAATTGCAGTAAAAATACTAACACTTTTTTTTCTGGAACTACAAATCTTGTTCTTAAAGTTTACATGGAAACAAGAAAAAACACCAGGAAAATGCCAAGAATTTATAAGAAAGACTCTAAAATTAAAATAACATGGCATTGACACATAATGTGACAGATACATCGATGGAGCAGATTAAAAGACCAGAGATAGCCCTGGCTGGTGTGGCTCAGTAGATTGAACACTGGCCTGTGAACCAAAGGGTCAAAGGGTCGCCAGTTTGATTCCCAGTCAGGACACATGCCTGGGTTGCGGGCCAGGTCCCCAGTAGGGGGAGCTTGAGAGGCAACCACACATTGATGTTTCTCTCCCTTTCTTTCTCTATCCCTTCCCCTCTCTAAAAAAATAAATAAAATCTTTAAAAAATAAAATAAAATAAAAGGCCAGAGATAGATTCATTATACATAGAAAGTTTATGCTATTACAGAAGAAACCTCGGATCCATAAAGAAATATAAATGTTTAGGATAAATGACATAGGACAACTAGATAGTCACTTGGGGGACATAAAATTGGATTCTTACATCACACCTAAATGAATTAACAGGTGGACAGAGAAATGGATGGAAAGATAGCTATGTGATAAAGCACGTGTAGTGGCATGTGAGTGGTAGAATCTAGGTGCTGGGTAGATGGATGTTCACTGGAAAAATCTTTCAACTTTTCTTGATGTTTGAAAATTTCAAAGTAGGATGTTAAGGGAAATGAGGGATATTTCTTTAAAAGATAGGAGTTGGCTTGAAGGGCCTCCCATTTGCCTAATTAGGACAATCTGAGCACCAAAACCAACAATAAAAATGATGGATTATAACAAATGCATTAACTTAAAAATCCATGAGTTCTTAGTGAACATTGAGCGAGAAAGAGAGAGAATCAAATGCAAATACTGAAAGTGACCATTACTCCAACCCCTGACTCTGAACTTGGTCATGAAATTAAGCCCCTACTCAATCAGGAGGAGCTGTAGTTTGTGCCAATTGGTAGACAGGAAATGCAAGAGATAGGGGGAAAAGTTAAATTATACCAGAAGGAATCAGAAAACTCCAAGATGTATGTACAATAGCACGTTTTATAAGACAGAGGCTTAGTAATTCCAAAAGTCAATAAATCCTATGTGTGAGAGAGGTTTTAGTTTAAAAGAGACGAAAGAGATACAACAAATAAATGCAATATAATCTTAGTGGCTTTTGGTTGGGAAAAACTATAAAAGACACTTTGGTGACAATGGCAGAATTTTAATGAGAACTGGATCTTAGATGATATAATTTGCTAATGAATTATTGTTAATGTTCTTGGGAACAAAGTAGCATTTGGTTATATAAGATAATCTTATTTTTAGATAGATGAAGGATGAAGAATCCTATCTGCCACTTCTTTCAAGTGCATCAGCCAAAAGAAAAAAAGACAGATGGTTGCACAGAGCTAGACAGATAGGAAGATAACAGGTAACTGCCCTGTTAGGTAGGCATTACTCTCTCCATTCTACCAATAAATAAAGGGTGCTGCCAATTCTTGAATAGTGTCACAAAGTATAATCCAGACCCAGATCTGTCTAACCTCAAGTCCACTGTTTAAGTGGTACAGTTTAAGGGGCAGCCCTATCTCCAAAGGAACCAGGCAAAGTTACTGAGGCAGAAACTTCAACACAACTCAAAGAGAACCACACCAAAACGAGTTAAAGAAAGTCACTCCAAATCTTTGCCAAGCACACCCAGTACGGGGCCTAGGGATAAGCAGAGGCAGGAGAGTGAGAGTGGGGTACCTTCTGGAACAGCAGTTGCTCCTGGTTTGGGGGTATGTTGGAAGAAAGAGGAGAGGAACTGAGCTAGAAAGGAGAGTTGGGCCAGATCATGGCAGGCTTTGGGTGCCGTGCTGGGGCGTACGGGCTTTCTCTGGCTGGCGGTAGGGAACCATGGGAGGTTCATACACCAGAGAAAGACATGGTCAGGCAGCGATGGGTTCATCACTCTCTTCCTCCCCAGTGGAGACCAGACTCCAACCAATGAACGCAAACAAACAAAACCTCCAGAAGGAGCTGGAGCAGATGTTGGATGTTTTATTTATGAGCAGAGCATTGGTCAAGTGAAAAAAATAAAAACCTTAACAAGATTAAAAATTGATGTACACAGAACGACTCAGTGGCTTGTAATAGCCCTTAGTCGAGAGGGGAAAAAATGAAAAGCTATTTCATAAAAGATTGAAGCTCCAGGGTACTCACGGTTTGAGTGCAGGCAGAAAGCTCTCTTGGCACTATGGCTCTTTAATAAATGGTGTGTTTCTATGAGGGGAAGGCTTTCTGGGCAGTAGGCACCTGCTGTGCTGGTTGGAGCACCGGCCACTGTCCAAGGGCTTGGGGACCCCCCCAAGCCTGGGGAGGACCCTTCCACCCTCTCACCACACCGCTGAGCCAGAGGCCAAAGCTGGGGAGCTCGCAGAGCCAGAGTCTCCCAGCCTAAACAGTCCTAGCGCCGTCCATCTGGCCCTCGACGCCATCGTGAGCATCCATTAAGAGATCATCTGTATGTTCTCCTTCAAAGAGCAAACAAGCAAAACACTTGTTCACTTATTTCTGACCAGAAAACTAACACATGTTCACTGGTGATTTGGAAAAGATAAAAAAAGCACGAAAAAGAGAATAAAAATCACTCATCATTTTACCAACCGGATAGACAGTTCTAGACTTTTTACAGAATGTAATCATATTGAATATGCTATTTTGTAAGGAGCTTTGTTTACCTAATAGCATATTATAAAATTTCAGCTATGAAAATGAATAATTTTCTATGAGACCATTTAAAATCATAATTTAACTGATCCCCTTTTATTGGACATTTGATTTGTTTCCATTTTTTTATTACAAATAATGTTATACAAACACCCTTGACATAAATCTTTTTGTGCATGCTGGTTAATTTATAGAAAAATAACTTTTCTCAGATGGGACAATCGTGCATTTTTCCTTCCCTGTGAGCTATCTGGTTCTGTAACTCCCCATCCATTAAACCAGTGACCTTTCTTGTTTCTGGGGGAGGCGTGGGTACCACTTAGAGTCTAGACCAAAAGGAAAGTCCTTTTCCCACTTTAAATCAAACTGAGTTTTGAGGCAGTAGCATGATGGTAGCCTTGAAAGACCGGCTCTGTTGAGAAGATTAAAGTTCTCTTTAAATTCTAAATTCTTCTTTGCCATCCAGAACAGAGCGCGGAAGTCTCAGATTATGAAACTTTTCTATAAGGTCACATTGTAGAGAAGATAAATGGTATCAGTGAGTTAAGTTCCCATCATAAGAAAAGGGGAAGGAGGGGAAGGATGAGGGGAGAAGAGGAGATGAATGGAGGAGACTTGAGTACCCTGGCTCCTCCTCCTTCTGAGTGGAAACCCCCAGGCTGGGGGCTGGGATGAAATAGGTGGCAGAAAGGCCCCGGGTTGAGGGCTGAAGCAAAGTGCACTTAGGCCTGTTTTACCTTTTGTTTTTTGGGAGGCAAGAGTTTCTGTGGCATCCCTGCACCAGCATGGGCAGCTGCAAGGAATTCTGGGATGGTATCATTAGGCAGAGAGAGAGACAAAGACAGACAGACAGAGATGCAGGGGGAGGGAGCTGTTCTTGCGGCCCCAGTCACTGTACTCAGTTCCTGCAGCGTCCCTGTCACCTGTAACCACAGGTCTGACCTCCGCACACGGGAAATGCACCCACCACACACCACCAAGGACTCAGATGTGCTGCCTATCATTTGGACATCATCGTGGGAATACATAGGAGAGAGGGGGCCTCTGCTTGAGCAGTGATGAGAGACTCACTCCCCACACTCCCCCCACACTTCCTCCATCTTTGCTAATAATAAAATGTTTTTTTTTATGTTAATGGACTTTCTGTTGTTGGCCTATCCCTGTGTTCTTGACAAAGTTTCACAAGCATGTTTCACCTGAAGTGTCAGCTCCACTCGACCGGCGGGGAGAATTTCGAGCATGGTGTTGAGGCGGATCCTGAAGCTTGGTCTGACTCTGCAGGAATGTGTCCACGACCAATCAGTGATGTTTGTCACGGACCGGAGAGGGCCGGCTATCCACGGTCTCTGTCCTGAAGCCACGTTAAATATGAATAATTCAGTGTTTACGTGCTGGTGCGGCAGCTATTGGAGGCTGGGCTTAGTTTTACCGTCTTTTTTGTTCAGGTTAAACATCCCGTTTTCCCCTCGTCCCTAAATTGATACAGTTGCCAGACTTCTGGTTAGCACTGGATGGTTTCTCATGGCCCATCTGTAAAATGGAGCCCACAGAACAAACGTATTCAAGCTTTAATTTAGGAGCAGTTATGAACACCCACCATGTTCCAGAGTGTCTCTGGGGCACCCGTGGGAGCAAAGATGAACGGAGAGGGAGCGGCAGCCCTGCCCGGTCTCTGTGGGGTCTGAGCAGCAGGGGTTAGTGTGGGGTCGCCACCTGCCCCACTTCGGTTGTGGGGAGTCTGTTCAGACACCCTCAGTCTCCTGTCTGCTGAAACCCCTTCAGGAGTGCCTGCCACTGTGGAGCTCCGTCACTCTGACACCCTGTCACCTTGTCACCTTGTCACCCTGACCTTGACACTGGGGTTGGAACTCTGGACAGGGCGTGCCTTTTGTCTCCATCAATTCCATCTCGCTCTGCTTGGGCACCCCTCCTGGCTGTTGAGGTTCCTCCGAGTCCAGATACCGCCACGCTGCATGTGTGTTCCCGTCCTCACGGAAATAAAGGGGCCACCAGATGGAACGGCAAAGGCAGTCCCCTCCACTGGAGGGGCCGCACTGCGGTGACTGAATGCTGCCTCCCTGGTCAACTGTCTCACTCACTGGGGCTCCCGGAGTGCCCAGCAAGGATGGGAACCCACACGCATACGATAAATTCCACATTCATCAGAGAGATGGCACATCCGCTGGGGTCCAGGCATATCTGTGAGCATATATAGATCCTAGCCCTGTGGAGCCTACATTCCATGGGGGTGGGACGTGGACAGGGGGAGAGAAAAGAAATGTAAGGAGTGATGTCGTTGTTAAAAGGCAGTAAGGACGTGCAGAAAGAGAGTGTAGGTTGGAGTGTGCATGGAGGGGTTATGGTGTTCAGTGTGGGGGTCCGGGTGGGCATCATGGAGAAGGTGACATTGGGGTCAAGACTGGGAAGAGGTGAGGGTGAGTCGTGTGGGCACATGGGATGAGGGGAGGACACAGTCCAGGGAGAGGGCACATCAAGGAGGTCAGTGTGGTGGAAGTGAGGCAAGTGATGGAGGGGATGGGGGGGACATGCAGCGGAAAGGCATGGGGGCAGAACACGTAGGTGTGTGGTCCCCACAGGGCCTGGATCCTTCTCGGGGTGAGATGGGCAACCACTCGGGAGCGATGTGATCTGCCTTACACGTTCCAGAGGGGAAGGTGGAAACAGGACACTGAGTCAAGGAAACCAGAGATGGAACCCAGAGATGGGGGGGGGGACCTGCCGGAGGCCGGACTGGACCAGACTGGACCGGACTGGACCAGAAGTAGAGGACAGGAGCAGGAAGAGGGTGGGTTCTCCAGGCTGCTGCTCCCCAGGGCTCTTCACCCTGCCCCTCGCCTCGTCCTGGGCCCCATCCTGCAGATCAAGGGGCCCCTGGGTCCCAGGAACTTCAAGCCAAGTCCCCAAACCCAGAGAGAGGCTTTCATGAAGACATGGCGAGAGTAGCTCTGTGATTACAGCCTTAATTTTGCTCTGATTCAACACAGCTCTCCCCTTCGGCATGATTAGTCAGGTACCATTACCATTTTGTAATGAGATTAATGAGAGAATTCATTCAGAAGTCATTATCTTACCTAATAATGACCTTACTGATTACTGTATCTCCTTCAACTAGGTTACTGATTTTGATGAAAATATAATAAATATAGCTTGCAGCATCTGGAAATTTGTTCTCTGCCTGGAATAGTTCGGAGGTGAAGACTTATTTTTGAGAATTTCTTGAAAGTGATTAAATATTTTGGTTCTCCTGAGGCGGTATTTCTGTGTTTTCACAGATGACATTTTTGAAATGTATGAAATATTTGATGATAAAATATTTAATAAGCCTGGCGTTCATATTTTTCAGACATCTGTTTCTACTTTGAGGCTGTCTGAATGTGATTTTACACGAAATTTCTATTTGCATGTTGTGTTGGTTTAAGAAAAGGGCTTTGCTATGCATGACATATGCGTCTCATAAAATAATGAATGCCCGCGCCTCGCAGTCCAGAAGATGTTGTACAAAGAGCACTGTGGTCTGCATATTAAAATGCATCTAAGCACGTCGTTAAATAAAAACACAGCCATTTGCAGGGGGGGACTCATGCAACTGAACTCTTATTCATTGAGGACCTACTTCGCACAAGGGTACCGTGCAGAATACAAGGTCAGGAAGACATGACTTTGTCCTGAACATTCGGGCTCAGTCAAGGTTAAGCTCCTACTCTGCGCCCACTGCTTGTAGACTTGTCTTCTCCGTTATGGAACGACGAGTGGTGTGAGGACGTGGGTTTCTGAACTCACACGTAGGTTGAGGTTTGCAGCCTGCTTTACCCTTTGTCACCTGCGATAAGTCACTTAACCTCTCTGTGCCTCCATTTTCACATCTGCCAAATGGGAATAACAGACTCACTCCTTGCTTTGTTGCCAAAAGGAATAATAAAATGAGAAAACAGAGTCTAAGGGGTTAAAACCCTTGCTCAAGATCACAAGTCCAGGAGTAAAGGCAGGTGTCCCAGCTCCTGGGACTCCAAGCTTCGAGGCCATCTCCTCTTGCGACACCCTCTCTCTCATTCCAGCCATTCGACCTTGCTGTGAGGACAGAGCAAGCTTCAAGGTGGGGCCTTGGTGTAAACTTCTTACATGATTTTTATAAGTCATTATCCTATGACACCCGCTTCATTCTGTTCTCAATCCACGCGTCACCTGGAAAGATGGATGAGTAATTTGGAGGCTTGATTGAAGTGGGTTTTGCCTTATGACTTTCTTGAAGTTAATGGGAGCCATGTGGCCCCGGATTCATGAGTCGCCCCCGCTGGAAATGCCCCATGAGCAGAGAGAGAACAACAGATCAGCAGGGTGCTGGGGAAACACCGGAGGTAATAAAATTCGGCATTTGGAAGTGGGGGGCAGTGTGCAGTGAGCACTGGAGCTGGAGTTGGAGCTGGTCCCTGCTGGGACACCATGCTTGCCGTGGGATCGTGAGTGCAAGTCATTTCTCCTCGTCGGAGCTTGGGTTGCTCACCTTCCCCACAGGGTAGGGGAATGATAACATCATTGATCATCATCGAGCGCCGATTGTGTGTCAGGCCTATTCTAAGTGCCTCCTACACACCGTGTCATTTAATCTTCACAAGGGCCTTAGGAAGCATCATTAGCCACATTTGGCAAGTGCGGAAACTAGTGCACAGAGAGGTTAAGTAACTCACCCAAGTCCACCCTGCTAGAAAGGGGCAGAGGTAGAATTTGAATGGAGATAGGCAGACCCTGGAGCCCTGGGCTGCAGCCTCTACCTATACTGTCTCGTGGGAGTTAAAGCACCTCATGCATAGGTGAGGGAGGGCTTGTCAGAAGAATAGAGTCGCAGGCCCCACTCTCAAGGCCTAGCAGAATCTGCATTTTCACAAGGTGCCAAGGGGCTTCCTTTGCACATCACAATCAGAGATGCCGTGCCCTAGAGCCACACTGCTGACAACGAGGGTGGGGGGGGTCGGGGGGGTCGGGCCGCTGGGCCAGAGATAGCAATTGTGACCTAGGAAGTCAGTGCAGAGACGCCCAGTTTATGTTTTCTCAAAGGCAGAGGATGCAAAATAAAGGAAGCCAAGTCACGGACAGTGTGGGGCCATGTTGCAGACACACCCATGTGGAGCGAGGCCAGGCTAAGTCCTGGCATTTTTGTCAGGGCCAGGAGGAGTCTGAGGGCAGAGGCCTAGCCCGGTGGGACTCGGACTGCTGAAGTGTCACCTGGGCCCTGAGCATGCTGCCCAGGGGACTTCAGAAAAAGCCAGATGAAGGAGTGGACAGCTGGACGGCCACCCAGGGCACAGATCCATGAGGAAGCTAAAAGATTGCCAGACTAAATTGGTGGAACGGAACATGGTTCTACTTCCACCAAAGCAGACAGCTCCCTCCAGTGGGAAACAAGAGTAAAACGTGCCCCTGCACAGCCTCGCCTTCAGGGGACAGGTCCCCTGCTCTGAGATTCTGCAAAGGTCTGTTCCGTGGAGTGGGGCCGTTTGCTGGGAACGAGCAGCTTATTCCATCATCTAAATATAAAACCCCTTAACATACCTGCCCAAAAGTCGTGCAGTTCAGCAGAGTGCCAGAAACACACACACTCACACACACACACACACACACACACACACACACACACACACAACACAGAAGGATCTAAGAACCACAGGAAAGTGGGGAATGTGTAGTGGGTATTTTTCAGAACATTGATGTCACTTCCACCCGAGAAGGCAAATTTGTAAGTGAATTTCTTTTTCTGTACAATATCTGTTAACATAAAGCCAGTCTTTCCTCACCTTCTTGAAAGAGATGTTAGACAAATATCTAAGGACATTGATTTTTAAGGGTCACCACCTAAACCACCCAGCTGGGACCCCTGATGGTCCTCAATCCCTCTCTGCCCTTAGGTGAGTCTCTTCGCCAGCCTGTCCTTCCCTCCTCACCAGGGGTAGGAGGCTCACAGGAGAAAACGGATTTGGGAAAAAAAGGAGGACAACGTGCCTCAGACGATATACTCCACAAAGGAGCACCCAGAGGCAGCAGAGTTGAAAAGGTCTCCGGGCAGCATCATTAGCTCCTGCTCCCCAATGAGCTGTCCTGGTACAGAAACTTGGCTGAACA